GGGGGAAGGGGGGGGGGGGGGGGGTCATCACGGGCGTGAAAATGCAACACCAAAGAGAACGGAAGGACTCGAACTACTTCGTGCACACATCTATGCAGCTGTTTGGCCAACGGAACATTTTTTGGGCATGTGATTGGCCTGTGACAACCCAACGTCTCTGCGTCAGGTGGACCGGTACGGGTGTAAGAAGCTACTGAGCGGAGACCGGAACGTTTTATTTATGCGAGTATGATACAACCACCAACAACAACAGCAATAACAACAACACTTGTACCGATTCGGCCGAACTGCGCTCATGTCTCACACGCAGCGAGTACAAAAAAGAGTCGTGTCGCCGCTAAACCACGGATAACAGGGCGGAGAGGCAGGTGGTGGGACCCACGAGTCTTCAATCCCATCGCGAACGCGTTTGATATCGAGGGAGCAGGGCGGATTGCAAGTTTCCCCCCGGTCCGCAGGCGCACAAGAGGCGTGGAAATCTGAGGCATTGCTTCGAGCGAGAGCGGTTGCACTAACTCGGGGCCAATAAGACGGCGTGGCATGACACGTCGGGCACGTCCGCTGGGAAACGAAAAAGTTTTCAAGAACCAAGGACACGTAAGGGGGAATGCACGGAGTTGCCGACAGCCAGTGAAGTTTTGTCCTCGTTCCGGCCGGCGGTCAAAATGGTGTACCAAGAACTAAAATCACACCGTCTCAAATCGAAGAGAACGCGCAGGGCCATACAGTAACCCTACAACAAAACAAACAGACAACCATGCACCAGGAAACAGATGCGACCAGTACAAGCCTTGCTGGGGAACGCTAAGCACACTCCTTCCCTCCAAAATCGCCATAAAACACCGAGGTTGGGGACCGAGTGCGCCCTCAAGGAGCTCCAACTCAGTGTCGTCGTGCGTGGTACGGCCCCGGTCCCCCAAGTCTTTGGTGCCACCCCCGCAAGAGTAGGGTAACATAGTCACAACGCGAAATACTGGTCATCTTCCAAGATACGTCATATACTGGACTGTGCACCACTGCCCGGTAAGTTGAAGAACGTTTCGGGGACAGCAGCGACGCTCGCAGTTCTCTGGCCGACTGCTGCTTACGCTGCTGGTCTCTCTCTCTCTCGCGTTTTCTTTGTTCGATTTTCTCTCTCTGTCTCTCTCTCTCACCTGGTGCGTGTTGTGGCCATCGCAAACGTTGCACGTGAAGGAGAGAGTGATCTTGCGATTTAACATGACGTGACCAACCTCAGCCCCATCGTCGTCCCCCTGCTTGCATGCGTTCGAGGTATGCACCGAGAAACCGAGGGCGCACGAGGGGGGGCGGGAGGGGGGGGTACACATAACGAAACGTGCCGTGGATGTGATAGGAAGTCTCAGTGCTTCCAAAAGCCGAGGCACACGCACGTGGCGGTTGTATCAGCACCAGGCAGGTTCCCTGTCATGACTAGGCGCAAAGTTTCCATCAGAGGCCTTCGGCAAGGCGAGTCGCATCAAGGGGCAGCAAGCTATTTCCCACACGACCTTGCATGCTCGCAAGCCCGACTGCACGGACTTTTGGCTCACTCGCTTC